TCCCCCTCTCCCCGCCACCACCCCGCCCTGGCTCGCGTCTCGGTGGGGCGGGGCAGGAGCCGGGGTCTGCCGCGCCCTCGGGGGCGGGGCCCAGTCGGCTCCGGGTGGGACCCCCAGAACAACCGAGTCTGCGAATAATGGGCTTCCGGCCCCGCCTCCTAGAACGTTAAATCCTGAGCACACAGAGGTGGGGACAGTACTCTGGGCTGACAGTAAACAGCTCTCAGACCACGGGTCCCCAACATCGGCGCAGCGAGGCCTCCCCATCGGGCCGAGGTTACCGGCCTGGCAGCCCCCACCCACGAGGGCATCATCTGGGGAGGTCGTTGGACTTCCTGCCGTAGGGGCTACAGGGTTGGGGATGCTGCAGGGTAGCCACCGGGGAAGGGGGAAGAAGAGCAGGAGCACCTGAGTAGGGAGTGGGGTGCTGTCATTCACCGGATGCTGATGCTCCGCTGGCTGGCTTACTCGTGATAGTACCTGCCCTTATTTTTCACTTAAATCCCTTTTGAGAGTGTAGGTTGCTCCCCAGATTACATTTTTTTTTTTGAGACAAAGATACCTGTTTCTAAAAGTTAAAAATTCACACTTGACTTGGAATGAAACCAGACGAAGGTTATACTACAGGGCAGCAGGTGTCAAACTTGAGAGCACCTCAGAATCACTGGAGGGCCTATTAAGACAGACTGCTGGGCTCACCACCAGAATGGGATTCAGCAAGTCTGCTTTGGGGGCGGAGAACTGCATTTTAACAAGTTCTCGGGTGATGCTGATGTACTGGTTTGGAGAACACGCTTTGAGAATCCTAAATTTTATCTTGGTTTAACAATTTGTAGGAAATCATTGTCACTAATATTGGTGGGACAGGTGGGCCAGGGTCCAAAGAAGGGGTGAGGGGGCCTCTGGGTTCTCCTTGGTACCAGGAGCACCTGTCTTCTGTTACCAGGACAACCAGTAAGGCCTTGCTGTCACCAGAGCTGTGGGCTGCCTGAGCTCTCTCCACTGAGGCGTCCTCAAACCACTTCCCTGAGCATGTGTTGGGGTAGAGAAGTGTGGTTGGCAGCTGAGCCGGAGGTGACTTCAGATACCCCTGCCTCTATCATATTCACACATGGACACAAGGATGGAGGAGGCATGGCCCTCACCCTGTCTTCAGTATCCCTCGGTGGTCAGCTGCTGACCCTTGACCCTTTCCCTGGGCCTTGACCTTGAGAAGGAAAAGCCAGGCTGGACCAACTCGTAAATCTAAGTGTCAGTTTACTGATCTGCTTCCTGCTGGGCCTACTCGTAAATCTAAGTTTAATTAGTGTCAGTAACTGATAAGGTCTTATTGGATAAGTTCTGGTTTACTGATTCCCTGCTTCCCTTTTGTGATATTGCTGAGCTGTTTGCGCCTTATTGGCCGATATACCCCAAGCTTGTAATCTACCCTATAAAACCTCACATACACTTCTTAGAGGTGTTCATAGCCCCGGAGGGATAGCCCTTCTGAGCCCACCGGCGTAAAAAACCTGAGTACTCCAACCCTCCGAGTCGTGTTTATTTCTTGGCTGGCCTGTCGTTTCCATAACAACCTCATCTCAGTTCATGTGAGGTAGTGGGAATTGGGGTGGGTTAGAACCTCCACTTGCCCCAGCTGCCCCCAGAGAGATGCGGAAGATGAAGACCTGTGCAGGATCTCATAGGAGGTAAATGGGCTCAGGACCAGACCACTGCCTCCAGCTGCTTCATCCCAACAGAGGGAGAGAGGAGGCTGAGCCCTCCTGCTACCTGCAGTTGTGTTGCTGCGAAGCCTGAAGTGTGTCTCCTCCCCACAGCCCAAACTTCAGCTTCCCACATTTCTCCGCAGGCCTCAGGGCCTTCTGTAGCCTCTCTGGGCTTCAATGCAGTGGACCTGGCAAATTTCCTGGAATCAGGGGCCCTGGAGGAACTTGGGATTCCATTGTCCATCCAAACCCCTAGCAGGACAGTGAGGCCTCTTAGAGTGCTTGGAAAGAGAGAGGTACCACTTGACATTCCTGAGCTGCCGTGGGGCCACTGTCATGGCGTTGGGTTTAGGCAACGGGAGGGGAGAAGTAGCCAAAAGGCAAGGGAGGTTCTGGCCAGCTAGAGCAGTTTGGGGGGGGGGCACATAGGTTTGAGGGGAGTCCCTCAAACCACTTGAATCCAGCCCCTGTCCCAGCTGCTGCTGGGCTTCTCTGCGCCCTGAGCTGCTACACAGGCATCTCAGACACACAGAAGTCTCCACCCACTATGGTGCTGCCAGCCACTGTCCTGGAGCCAAGTGATGCTTGTGCCAGTGGGGGCTCGGGCAAGGGCAAGCCGTGTAGGGGCAGCAGCGGCCCAATCAGGCAACTTTACAAAAAAGCTCTGGGCCTAGCAGGTAGAACAGTCACAAAGCCCCAGCACTGGTTCTGCAGAAGACACACAAAGTGGACCCAGGTCAGAGCTATACGATTTGGCTTTGAGTCAAAGCTCACCACGCTGCGAGCTTGGTTATGAGGCCCTGGACACAAATGATCAGTGAAGAGTTATTATTCAAATGAATTATTGACGCGCTATGGCCCTACCAGCCATGAAAGACTCTCCCCAAAGGCATCACGATGATGGAGCAGCAGAGCTCCTTAGAATACCCCTTAGTAAAAACAAGAGGGTGTGGCATACAAATGGCCAACAAGCATATGGGAAGATGCTCAACATTACTAATTATCAGAGAAATGCAAGTCCAAACCACATTGAGACATCACCCCATAGACATTAGGGTGGCTATTATCAATGAACACCAACGGAGAGGGGAGGGTGGAAACTCAGTGGTAGAGTGTGCACCTAGCATGCACAAAGTCTTGAGTTCGAGCTGCAGAAACTCCATTAAAAATAAGTAGATAAATAAAATAAATCTAATTGCCCCCCCAAATTACAAAAAAAACCCCAAAACCCAAAAAACCAACCAACAACAAAACAAATGTTGGCAAGGATCTGGAGATATTGGAACACTTGTACACTGTTGGTGGGATTGTCAGATAGCGTAGCTACTATGGAAAATGCTAGGGAGGTTCCTCACAAAATTAAAAATAGAACTACCATATCATCCAGCAATCCCACCTCAGGATAAATATCCAAAAGAATTGAATGGAGGGACTCAAAGAGGTAGCTGTACTCCCAGGTTCATAGCAATATTGTTCACAATAGCTAAGAGGTGGAAGCAACCCAAATATCCATGAATATAAAGAGATAAACAAAATGTGGTCTCTGCATACAATGGAATATTAATTAGCCCTAAAAGGAAGGAAATCCTGTCCTATGCTACAACACAGATGAACCTTGAAGATATTATGCTGAGTAAAATAAGCCAGTCACCAAAAGACAAATATCGCATGATTCTACTTATATAAAATACCTACAGGAGAGAATGGTGGTTGCCAGGGGTGGAGGGTGGGGACTTGTTTAGCGGTATATAGTTTCAGACTTGCAAGATGAAAAAGTTCTGGAGATCTGGTTCACGTAACACTACTGAACTGTACGCTCAAATCACAGTCCAAAATGGTTGAGAGTAAACTTTTTCTTTTTTTTAAATTTATTTTAAAGATAGTAAACTTTGTCTTAATTTTTTGTTTTAACTTTTTAAAAATTTTTTGAGGGGGGAGGTAATTAGATTTACTTATTTATTTTTAGAGGTGGTACTGGGGATTGAACCCAAGACCTTGTGTATAGTAAGCATGCCCTCTATCACTTGAGCTATACCCACCCCCCATTTTACTTTATTTTTAAGATGATAAATTTTATGTCTTTTTAAACCACAAAATGAATGGGAAAAATAAAAGGAGTTAGAAAAGTCATTCAGTCCAATATTCCCAGCTCAAAGATGAGAAAGCTGAGGCCCGGAGAGGAAAAACTTGCTGGCAGGACCAAATCAAGACAGGCTGACAGATGGTAAAATGTGACACAGCAGTGCAGTGTGTGAGGCCAGTGTGGGGCTGGGCTCAGGCTCAGTGGCTGTGGTTGGTGCTGGCTTGTAAGTGGTGGCCATCTGAGTGGGTTATCTAGAAAATTCACTTAAGAGGAACAGCTCCTGTGTGGCTCATGTCAGCTAACCTTCCCCTCCCAACTTCAAAAGCCAAAGGCCTGGGGCGCCCCCAACCCAACCCCAGAAGCCTGCAGACCAGGGGTAGGGGCGCTTTCATGGGGTCCAATATGGGCACCAAACCTAGATTAAAATCCAGCTCTGCCACAAGCCTCAGTTTCTACATCTCAGAAAAACAGGGAGGGGCCTAATTCAGCAGTGGTTCTTTTTGGGGGTAAGGGAGGAAATTAAGTTTGTTTGTTTATTATTTATTCACTTTTGGAGGCAGTACTGGGGATTGAACCCAGGACCCTGTGCATACTAAGCACGCACTCTGCCACTTGAGCCATACTCTCCCCTCTGGTTCTTAGAGTCTAGGATGCTGGCCAGGAACTGGGCTTGTTCATCCCTATCCTGGGGCCACTGTTTCTTCTTGGTGCCTCAGTCGACTCGTCTGCAAAATGGGAGAAATAGTACCTCTGACGGCTGCAGTGAGGATTAAGTGAATTTGTTTATTTAAAGGGCTTGCAACCCGGGACTTCAGGGGCCTGGGCCACCCCAACTTCTTCCACCTGTCGCTACTGTCCCTCGTTAAGAATCCATGGGAGAGTCAGGGCTACTACAGTCCCTGCCTGTGCTGCTGGCAGACATCACCGGTCATCAATCCTGCCTTCATCCTGTGTGCTCAGCAGCCCTGACGCCTTGACTGAGTTCCAGGCTCCTGTTAGACTAGGCAGGGAGATGGGAAGGGGATCTGCTCAAGGTTTTCCGTGAGGCGGCGGCAAAGCCCCCACTGTCCTGACAGCAGGCGGCTCCGCATGGAGAGGAAGCCAGGCTCAGCCTCCAGTAACCCAAGCCCTGGGGAACCCTGGGGAGGACACCAGTGGTGCTCCCTACAGCAATCCCTTCAGGATTTGGGTTTAATCCCAAGCACGAGGATGGGCGAGGAAAGGATTTTGTTTCATTCTTTCAGAGGCCCAAGCCTTGGCCCAAGCCCCAGGGCGCAGGAGTAAAGGCTCGTGGCCACCCCGCCTCTACCAACAAAGCCGTCCTTTATTAAATAGAGATCGCATTACATTCCGTTCAGAGGAGGAAATCAGACGTGGTGAGGGATGTGTCCAGGTTGGCCTTGGACCCTAGTACCGAGTAGGCTGTGAGAGGTGAGGAGGGGCCTGGGGCCTGCCCACCCCACCCCAGTCCTGGGTGCAGGGCGCCCTCTGCCCCTGTTCTCTGGATGGCCATCCAGGGCTGTAAGCAGGCCAGGGCATCCGCTGTGTTTTACTTTGGGAGACAAGTGCCCCAATCCTCCCAGGAGCGGTGGGGGCAGGACTTCTTCAGCATAGGGCTCTGACGGGGAGGGGAGGAGGAAGGTTGAGAGGGAAGGTAGGAAGAGGGACCCTGCTACATCTTAAGAACGTTTGGGGGCAGTTTTCAGGCAGACATAGGATGGAGTAGAAGACAGCCAGGGAGGCCCTGGCAGTCACAACTCTGCGGCCCCGTGGGCACCTGAGACTGCAGGCCTGCTGGGCTTTCTGATGCAGAGGCCTCCTGGGAACGCGGTGAAGGATGGCCACAAGGGGGTGCTGGTGCCCAGGGACTTGGGAACTAGCCTGTCGAATACCCTTGAGAACCAGCCAACAAGGCACCTACAGGCAGCAGCTCCTGGGACTGGGGAGGGGGTGCTGGCTGCCCCAGGGGCCCCTCCCAAGGGCTGAGCCTCTCTGTATGGCTCCAAGCTCCTTGGTCTTTGGTGCTTTCTTGAAAGTCTCCTAGTGGCTGTAGTACCACTAGGGAAGAGAGGTCACCTCTTGAGGTCCTGTCCAGGGACGGACGTTTGGTGCCAGCTCGGCGCTGCCTCCATGGCCTGGCCATTTGTCCTTCTGTTCAGTTTCTGGCTAAGGGCTGGCTCAAGGACCCTGTCCTGCTGTATGTCTGTCTATCGTGGAGTGGGTGTTGGCTCCAGCTCAGAGCCCCACTCCAGGCCTAGGCCATGCCCTAGGCCTCCTGGGGGAAGAAGCCAAGCTTGGCCAGCGACATCTCCTTCCGCAGCCTTGTGATCTCCCAGAACATCGGCTCCGCTGCAGGCAGAGAGAGCGTGGACAGCTCAGTGACCACTCAGGATCACCTCAGGCAGACAGTCTGGCCCCTTTCCCTGGCTTTGGGCAGGGCAGCTAATGGGCACCCTGAGGCTCCCCAGTCTCCCAGGATCGATGACCTCAGTGAGTGGCTGAACCTCTTTGAGGCTCCACTTTGAGGCCTTGCAAACTGTTGAGTGCTGAACACAAGGGAGAGATGGAAGTGACGGTCACCCCCAGAGCCTGACGTGGGCATTCATGTACCCACTGCCAAACACTTGAGAGGCTGCAAATGCTCTCCAACCCCATCTCCCCGGGCTCTCCAGCGACCCAGAGAGATCCAAAGCATCAATCAGGGCCCTCAAAGTCCGTCCCCTGCTGGCAGAATGGGGCAAGGGGACAATGGGTGGACGGACTCAAGTCAGGCAAGGGTACCAGGGAGGTGGATGAGCCTGTGTTCAGGCGACCACACTGTGAGAGGAGGAGACTCCGTAGGGCCTCGAATGCCAGGCCAGTAACAGGAATGTAGTCCCTACTGGCCCCGGGGCGGGGCGGGGGAAGGTTTCTGGGCAGGAGAAAGCAGTTGGATCCAGGAACGCGAGGGGTCAGGCTTGTTTTCCTGGTGAGGCAGGGCCCAAGAGGACCGTTCTGCTGTTAGTCTTTCCACAGAACTCAACAACAGGGGTTCACGAGCCCTTTACTAACCCACAACCTTCCCGCTCGCAGAATCCTCATTTCGGACCCGGGCAGCAAAACTCTGGGGTTGGCCCTGCCGCCGCTGGCCCGCCCCGCCCCTTCCAGGGCACCACCCACCGCCAGCCACCAGGGGGCGCTCACCGTCCTGCCGCACCAGGCCTTGCTGGATGTAGCGGATGTAGGTGAAGAAGTTGCACACGGCAGTTATCTGTGGGCGGAGGGGGCAGGGTGTGATCCGCCGGCCTCATACTTGGGGTTCCCCCGCAAAAAAAACCAGCGCAGATGAGAGACAGGACAGAGGGGGAAAACCCACGTCACAGCCAGAGCTGGGCTCTAAAACTGTAATTAACAGCCCCAATACTATCACACCTAATAAAAAAATGATAGCAACAATTAAGCATAATCAAGTAGTTCAAGTAGGCATATCCAACGAGGCAGACATGCCCATCATTCCCATGCTGCACGTGGGGAGAACGGGGGCTCCAAGAACGACCTAACAACTGTGGACGTCACAGAACTTATAAGTGGCCGAGCTGGAAGATGAAACTGGGCAGGCTGCCAAGAATCCACTTCCCTGGTCCCCCACCCCCAACCCTCGCCCCAACCAGGGGCCTGCTTGCCCTGGATGCTGGAGGCCTTGGCTAGCCAGGCCTTACCAGGGGCTATCTGTAATGCGAGGAAAGGCAAGGGGATCAGAAGGTGCTCACCTGGCTGCCCTGGAGCCCATCGCCTGAAGCCCCCAGCCTGGCCATGAAGACTCTCATACCGTGGAAAGAGTGCTGTTGGTGCCCTGTCCTGGCCACTTCTGCAGGCTGGGGCCCCATCTCCCTGCTATTCAGAGGGTTGCCCCTCTGTACCCTCTACCCCCACAGGCCTCAGCCAATGACTGACTGACATCTGAGATGTAAAAGGCCAGCCCACCCCAGGGTGGAACCCACTCTGGGCTCCAGTCCCTGTGGATCAGGCTGAGCCAGACTCTAGCTGAGGCCACACCTTCGCCTGTTTCCCCGACCCGCCTCCTGAGAATTGCACACAATCTCCATCTTAGGCTCTGCTTCTAAGGAACCCAACCTAAGACAGGGTGGGAGGTGGCTGGCAGCTGTGCCCACAGCTGCTCCTGCTAAATATCCAAGTGCTTTGAGGGAGGGATGTCAAGTGTGTGTGGGCCACAGGCCGGGGAGCGGAGACGGTCAAAGGGTGGGGCGGTGCTTCTGATAGGCCCTCAAACACCCAGGAGCCCTTGCCAGGAGGACAAAGTGGGTCAGAGGCAGGGAGGTTTGAAAGCCAGGTCAGGGGACTGACCCAGCGTGGCCGAAGTGCCACCTGGGAGGGCCGAGGAGGGGCTGCGTGGGGTGCAAGCAGGACAGGAGAAGCTCGCATCTCAGGCCATGGTGATGTGCAGTGGCCAGTGGGCCCCACGGGAGCAGGGGATGACAGGAGTGGTGGGCCTCCCCCCAGTGCTGCTCCCTGGGGACTGAACTCTCTTCTCTCTGTGGATTCCACACTCCGTGGTCTCTTCAGGATGGAGAACACATCCTAAAACTTCACACCCTTCTCATCTACCATCCCAGTTCTGCCCAGCACAGCGTGGACACACAGGCCTGGCAGATAGGACGTTCTAGATGTCATTTTGTTGGCATGGGAATGTCTGGCATGGATCCCCGGGGTTGGGATCAGAAAACACAAAGGGACCAATGGCCATCGAACAAGGCTGTGGGCACAGATGCACAGGGCGGAGGCTGGATTCAGAAAGGGGAGACCTGGGTCTAGGATGAGTTGCCTGGGGCATACCTCTTTCCTTTCTTTTTTTGGGGGGAGAGTAATTAGTTTATTTTATTTATTTTAATGGAGGAACTGGGAATTGAACCTAGGACCTTGTGCATGTAAGCACACGCTCTACCATGGAACTACACTCTGCCCCCTCTCCTTTCTAAGGCTCAGGCTCCCTGTCTCTAATGGGGGCCCAGCTTGTTGCTGTGGGATTGGCCAGGACATCATGCTGGGCTGCCCTGCAGAAGCTTTCAGGACCAGATAATCTGCCTTTGCTTGTCAGTCTGGTGCATGATGATGGGGGCCATTTGTCCACTTTAGTCCCAGGAGGCGCCTCTGGGAGGTCAAGGGGAGGAGATGGTTCCTCTAAGAGGGCCCGTCCACACCGTGTCAACTTTGCACCAAGCTTCATTGTTTTCCAAATTTTTGTTTCTTCCAATCATCTTTACTGTCTTTGAAGGGACAGAAGAACGGGGACCACCTCACCCTCATCCCAGCTCAGTAGGTCCCCTGATCCAGCCTGGGTCACTTGGCAGGTGAGGACAGTAGCTGGGATTCCTGGAGGCCCCTCAGCACCCACAGCTGACTGTCAGCTTTATGTGACAGACAAGTCTCAGAACATTCTCCAAAACCTGGGGCCAGACGGAGCTGGAGCCAGAAGTCAGGAGCCTGGAACTTTAACCTGAACTTCCGTGTCGTTCCCTTGGTTAGGTTACTTTAAATGACAGGTGATGGGTGTCATTTTCATGATTACTTTTTAGCCAGCAAGAACATGGCTACCTCAGTCCTTCAACCACAAGGAACTGACTTCTGCCAAGAGCCATGTGAGCTCAGAAGGGGGCCCTGATCGTCAGAAAGGACGCAGCTGCTGACACCCTCATTGCAGCCCATGAGACCCTGGCAAAGGACCTAGCTAAGCTGTGCCTGGACTCTGGATCCAGGGAGACTGAGATAATAAATGAGTGTCACTAAGTTCATGGAAATTTGTTACACAGAAATAGCAAACCAATACACCTGGCTTGGCTGTGTGGCCCAAGTCAATCTCTGCACCTCTCTGAGCCTGTGCCCTGCCCTACTCTGGAGATAGAGGTTGTGCTCCTAGGCCTGGGGACTGGAGTCTCAGCTCAGGGAGCCCTAAGGAGCCAGGTAATGCCCCCATTGGATGACTCACCCTGGCTCGGGAAGATGGCGAAATGTAGTAGTGGCTCTTGGAGTCCCCAAGCCGGATTCGGTGGCGACAGGCACAGGCCAGCCCACTCAGGGCACATGTACTAGGGGAAAGCAGAGGGGGTTGTGGGGGCTGATTGGGGCTTGCCCATTCAGCTCATGCAGGGAGGATGCGGCAGCCAAGAGGAGGCCATAGAGGGAGAGGCAGGCAGGCAGACAGCAGGGTGGGGCCTGACATCTTCTCCCCTGGCGTCCCAAGGAGTCTGCAGCCAGGCCAAGCGGGAGTAGGGCAGTCCTGGAAATCCCTGTGAGAGACCTTTAACCAAGCTGCACCCCATCCCTAAGCCCCTCACCTCACGCTTGGTGGGCAGGGGAGCTTGGTCAGCTTCATGCCAGGTGTACCAAAGCTCCACCCTCTGAAGGCCCTGAAAATGCCCCCCTACTTTACTGGGGCCCTCAGACCCAGTCACCCCTTCCCCCAATTAAGCAGGAGTCTGCTCTCTCTTCCACTGAGCCTTTTGCTTTATCTCTACTCTTTATTGTTACAGCCAAGGGCTCCTCAAAAATCCACATCTAGCCCATGATCTTTCCCTGCTGCCTTCTTATTGCCCAGGAAATGGCTATGGAGAATCCCAAGTAAATGAAGGATAAATAGGCTCCTTGGTTGCAGGACTTATCAGAGCCTTTGCTGCCTCCAGGTTCAATGTGTCTCTCTGATTGGACCAAGGAACCTTCTTTTCAGGGAACATTTATCGATGATTTGTGAAATTCTGGTCTAGTGGGTCAAAGCCCCAGCCTCATTTGAGGCCCTTTACACTCTGGCTCCAAACACCCTCTGTGGCCTCAGCCCCAGCTCCTTGCCCACTCACTCAAATGCTCCACCCACCAACCCAAGGGAGTCTCCATTAATACTCTGGCTTCTCATACCTTCACTTATCCCGTTGCCTCTTCCTGAAAGGTCCTTCCCTGCTTGGCAGACTGTTATTCATCCTTCAAAACCCCGCTCAAATGTTCCCCTCAGTGACAAGGCTCCCACCCCAGGACCTCCCTCTCAAGCCAGATCCTGGGCTGCTGAGGGGAAATGCTCCCCAGTCCCTGCCCTCTCCACACTGTGGCAGTTTCGCTTGGCTGCTGGCCCTGTCCAAAGCCAGCTGAGAAGCAGGGAGGACTAGACGCCAGGGCTGTCCGGTTATTGGCAGGAGGCAGAGCCAACAACCAATATAACTTACGTGTCAATCGGGGCCCGGAACCCACTGTGGGAGAGAGGGAGTGGGAGAAGGAGGCACGTCAGAGCAGCCGGGAAGGGAGAGACCCTGGCTCCGTGACAAAAGGCAGGAATTTCTACCAAAGATGCCTCCCTGCCCTGCGTGGGGGCAGCCACAGTCCCCCCCCTGGTGAGGTGCCCTGGCCCACCCACACCAGGCCCCAGCAGGCAAGCCTGAGGCTCAGTCCTCCCAGGCCACCCCCTCGGCGGGGGCCCAGGGCTACACAGGGGTTTCCCAGGGGCCAGGAAGGGTGCAGAGCTAAGCTTACTTGGTGCGGCCACACTCGACAGCGGCCATCTTCACTGAGGGCAGTGTTTGCGAAGCCACGGGCTCAATGGTGAGCGTGTTGTCCTCCACGGCGGCCCGGACCAGTGCTGAGAGCTGCTCCAGAGCAGGGTGGTGGGTGAGGTTGGTGAGAGGCTGGTCCCTGGCTGGGGGGCTGGCCTCCCCTCCCCAGCTGGCCGCCCTCTGCCCGCCTCACCTCCTGCATGGTGAAGTCCAGGCAGGGGCCCACGTCCTCCCGGTACACCCTTTCCAGGAAGGGGCAGGTCTTGTCCAGGGTGGGTGATTCCCTCCAGGCTTGGAACTCTGCAAACAGGGTCGCATCCACCTGTAGGGGAGGGCAAGGGGGGTGGGTGGGGGTTAGGGTGTTGGGGGCCAGCACGGCAGAGACAGGCAGAGCCGAAGGTGGTGGGGAGCCAGGGAAGATGCAGGGCAGGCCCAGCGGGGACCACGCAGGGGAGCCAAGTCCTAAAGAACTCATCTCCTGTCTCTGCACCGAGAATGTAGAATTCAAAGTTGCACTTTCAGGCATGTTTTCAGTTTCTCGGCACTAGAGAATTACAGACTTGGGTCCGGGGTCTCGTCCTGAAGACCCTCCCCACCTCCTTGAGGAGGAAAAGCTGAAGAGTGACCCTGCAGGGACCCACGGGTACACGCCGGGACCTGCAGCACACACAGGCATGGTACACGGGAGGAAAGACACACGCCCCCCCAGAGCACATGCAGTGAGAGGCTGGGTGGGCGGGAGCGGGGCGGCCCCTCTACGGAGCCATTACCTGTCGGGAAAAGGAGAGAGAGGTGGCAGAGGTGGGGCCCACAGGCAGCTCACCAGGTGGGAGCTGCCAGGCCGGCTGGTAGGTGAGGTGAACCGCCCTGCTGGGGACCACGCAGAGGAGTAGAGAGAGGAGAGGGGGCAGCCCGGGCTGGACGCACAGGGCAGACAGACAGACAGGTGCACAGAGACAGAAGGAAGATGTTAGTGTCCAGTTGGAAGCTTAGAGCCAGAAGAGGGTTGAAGGGCCCCCCCGTGCCTCCTCCTTGGAAGCTCCGGAGGCCTGGGGCAGGATGGAGCTGGGGGCCACCTTGGAATCAGAGACCCCAGGAAGCTGAGTCCCACTACATCCCTCATGGGTGCTTACTGGGCGCAGCCCTGAGTGAACTCCTAAGGACCCACAGCCAAGGACATTGCAGCTCATTGTCCAGCCTGGACCAGGCCCCCATGTACCCCACTGAGGGCCAAACACCTCATATCACAAGGAACCTACCCAAAGGAGCCCTCATAGCCAAAGGACACAGAAGTCCAGAGAGGGTGGGACAGGCTCGTGGTCACACAGCAGGAGTCAGGCAGGTCCCCACTGGGCATCACTGCCTGGCTGACAGTGGGCGCTGTGTCTCTTTCTGGTGTCCACTGTCTGCCCGCAGCCCCTCACCTCTCTGCCCTCCTTGTCCAGGGCCAGGGCGTGTCCTGCAACAGGGCACACAGCAGGGCAGGGGGCACTGCTGGTGCTCTTATGACGCAAGTGGCCCTTGCGGGGTCCGGCCTTGGTGGGGCTGAGAAGCTGCGGGTGGAGCTCGCGGTTGGGAGAGGCTGGTGTGGACGTGATGACCAGTGTCTTCAAGGCTGTCACCTCTGCCTGCAGCATGTCGATCTGGCCGGAATGAGATGGCTGTAAGTGTTAGCCCAGGGTTGACTCTGCCCTGGCTGCCACCACCTGTCACCCCAGCTCAGGATGGCCCATCACCCCAGCTCAGGATGGCCCACCCTGACTAGTACCTAACTCTACCTGTTACAGCTTTTGAAGTGGGGACTGAGATACCCATTTTACAGATCAGGAAACTGAGGCTCAGAAAGAAGACATGGCCTGGCTTAGGTCACTTTGATAGCCAGAACCCTGTTTGATGCACGTGTCTGAGAGCTGATTGAGTCTCCCACTGAGTGGCCCCTAGGAGCCAGGAACAGCCCAGCCCACACATTCTACAGATGGGCAAACAGGCTTGGAAAGCTAAAGCTCCTTGCCCAGGCTCATACAGCCAAACTGAGGTTTCTGCTTCGCAAAGGGGACATAGGAGGAGGGAAAAGAAATTACAACGGTTACAAGATCCTCCCAGACCCAGAAAGGGCCCAGGAAGATCTCCTTGGTGCAACAGAAGCACAGCTGGGGTCCCAGGGAGCTGGACTTCCACCCCAGCAGGCTGTGTTCCAGCGGGGTCATTCAGATCCCTCTGTCCCTTCCTTCTGGGCCTTGGTTGGCCCATCCCAACCGGCATCCATCCCCTGGCCAATGGCAGGGCTGGGAGGGGGTCAGGAGCTCTGGGCCGGCCGAGTAGGTAGGAGGGCCTCACCTTGCCCCGCGCCTCCTTCAGCTGCTTTTCTGACGCTGCCTGCTTCATGTTGGCTTCTCGCACCATCTTGTGGGCTTCCTGGGAAGAGGGCAGGCTCCGAGTGAGTGGGGCCATGCTGACGGATGCCCTGCAGACTCCCTCCCCAGCCTGCGCCCAGGCCCCGCACCTCAAACAGGCTGGCCGTCAGCTCCTCCAGCTCCTGTTCCAGCTGCTCCCGCACCTTGGACAGCCGCTCACACTCCTCATCCTTCAGTTTCAGCTCCTGGGGGGCACAGGGGACAGAGCCGTCAGCCCCACGGGGGGACCCCAGGCCTGGCACTGGGGGGGCCAGGCCCACTTGACCAGGCCCCATTCCCTGGGGTCATCTCCCGTGGGCCTCTGGAGCTGACTTCCTCCGTGGCCCTACAGTTTACCATGTGTTTTCCATTTAGCTTATAGCATGAGGTTGGAGTCAGGACTTCTAAAAGTCGATTAAAAGTCACAGGAAGAACTGGTCTCCCCTTTGTTTGTGCTGCCCTCATGCTCAGTGCAGGCCTGGCATGCAAGTGGCCTTGACAGGTGCATGACGTCTCCCCAGGCCGGCCCCTGGCCCCCCACCCCACCCCCCAGGCCCCCACCTTCTGGGCTTTGTGCAGCTCCTCCTTCAGGAACTCCGAGCCCTTCTCGCGGATCTCCATGGAAGAGCTGCGCAGGCGCGACACGTCCAGCCGGGTAGCCACAGGCCCCTCCTCGCCTTGGACCTCCTCCCCTGCAGGGGTCTCCGCCAGGCCTCCCGGGGACTCCCTGTGGCTTTTGCAGGGGCCCACACTCTTCCAGGGGACTGGCACAGCTTCCAGGGGTGGCGGGTGGCCCTCGTCCGGGTGGGGCTGGCTGCCAGGCAGAGAGCAGATACAGGGTGGGGTCCTAAGGCCTGGAGAGCTGAGCCCAGGGACTAAGCCCAGGCAACACACCTGCCACTCTGGGCCTCAGTCTCCCCATCTGTAAAATAGGCTATCACCAGGGTTGTCACAAGGGCAGAATGACCAAGCACAGGGTCCCCTGGGGGCAAGGACAGGGCTCATTCATCTATGTCATCTATGTGGGCCGCTCCAGCCCAGGCCCACAGTAGGTGCCCAGCACACAGCAGGTGTTCCTGTTGGTTCGCCCAACAGATACTGTAAATGCATCAATGGTGAGGGCCTGCGTTTCCGCCTCTATAAAATGGGGAGGATCCAAACAGCCCCACCACAAGGGTCACTGACTAGATCAGAGATGTGCAGAAAGCCTTGGCACACGAGACACTTAAGTGGGAAGTGCCTTCGTTGCTACTGTTAGGGTGGACCAGAGAGGAAGGACCAGCGGGGACAGGCAGAGCTCAGGCAGGAAGGTTCTGCAAATGGCCCCGGGGAAGGCAGCCCACTTCCTGCCCTCTGGACCTTGTGGGGAGCAATCCCAGTTCTCCACTGGTCCGCCTTGTGACCTCAGGCAAACTCCCCTCTCTCTGAGCCTCAGGACCCTCTTCTCCCTGAAGTGGAGGACACTGGAGGCAGTGCAGGGCGCCCCCCGCCCGTCCACGCTCCCCTCTTCGCAGCAGACCCTGAGGAGTGGGGGAAGGAGAGGGCTGGGCAGTGGTGGTTTGTGCCAAGACAGCACCTCTGGACTCGCTCACTCAGCAAAAGTTGGCGGCTCCTGAGCCAGCAGCTTCTGAGCTGCAGTGGCTGGACTGAGGGTGGGGGGCTGGGCTGCTGATCGAAAGGGGAAGTGGAGGGGAAGGGGCTCAGAGGGGCCCACACAGGAGGGAGGAAAGACAAGGCCAAGGGGTCATGGAATTCAGAATTGCCGAGAGGAAATGGGAAAGACAAGGCTGCGGTCTGGTCCCTCCTCCCCGTCCTCTGGACCCAGGGACCATCACTTAAGCAGCCCCCGATGTTTTGTGTTTCCCCTTCGGTAACACAAAAGGACCTGGTGCCCAGGGACCCTAGCAATGAACCCATTCCCAGCCCTCCACGTGGCCCAGTCCAGCTGCCAACCCAGCCTGCCCTCTGCTGGAACTAGCCCCGAGTGTGATCTTGGGTTCCTCGTGCTGGGTCCTGCCCAGCAGGGACGCAGGCTTTGACGACTCAGATTGGAACACACACCCATCACTGCATCAACAGCATTTATGCCGGACAGGGATCTTTCCTAATACCCTTGTCTGAGGGGTCTTGTTGGCCAGCAGGTCCCTGAGGCTTATGGGGCTGTGGCAGTGCTGTGGTGGCCCCAGTCTGAGTCTGCACCCAGGGGACTCCCAGGTGCTCTGCTCACGTTATCTCACTTAAAACTCTCAGCCGAGGAGGGGAGGGGATAGCTCAGTGGCAGATGTGTGCTTAGCATGCATGAGGTCCTGGGTTCAGTCCTCAGTACCTCCATTAAAAAAAAAAAGAAAATCTGATTACCCCTCAAAACAAACAAACAAACAAAAGCTGCACTTGTGGTATTGTCTCCATTCTACAGATGAGAGAGGTGATGGGACTTGCCCAGGGTCACACAGCTGGTCGGCAGCAGTGCTGGGAATGGTGGCCAGGTCGTCAGCCCAGGCTCCCAAAGCTCCCCAGCTACAGCAGACCGGTGGGCGGTGGGCAGTGGGTGGGCAGTGGCATCGTGTATCTGCCTCTGGATCAAAGGCCACTGGGTCCAGGGGTACCCAGGAGGCTCCTACTCAGCTACGCAGGGAAATTTGACCCAATTCCAGCCTGAACTGGCTTCTCAGCCTCTGCTCAGGCCCAGAAACTGCCCCCGAGAAAGGAGGCCAGGGCTGGCAGCAGGGGGGCTGTGGCTGAGCACACAGGCCAGTCGGGCAAGGATGGGTCCATGCCAGGCTCCAACCCTTGGTACCTGCGAGCCCCTGGGAAGGTTACTGAAATTCTCTCAACCTGCCTCCCCGTCTGTGGGTTGGGGGTAAAACCTGCAGGAAGCACACTAAGAATGGAACTGAGTCACTGGACAAGGCACAGGGAGAACAGTGGGCTGTCTGCAGCTACGTTTGGCAGGGACCCCCACTACCCCGCCCCCATCACGTCTGCCCAGGCTCTGGATCCTGCAGCTAAAACTGTGGGCCCTCAGGAGGTTCCCCCACTGGAGGCCTGGGGTCCAGTACCGTCCCCACAGTGGAGAAGATGGCCAAAGTAGTGCTTCAGGCTTGGTGGGGTCAGACCCCACGTCGGGACTGCCCACTATGATAGAATGGGCAACAAGTATAGGCCAAGGGCAAGGGGTAACTCCCAGGGACAGCACAGGGCACAAGGCAGGATCCCAGGTCTCAGATCCCCAGCCCCATGGCAAGGACCACCCCAGCCATCACCTGCATCCCCTGCCTAGGGGAACAAGGCAGCCAGACACCTCCCACGAATAAGCTTCGTCCACCAGTGTGGGCTTGGCCTCTGGCCACAGTGAAGGACACACACTCTCCTGCTGGTCCCCAGGGCATGGGCTGGGGATGTGGCCAGACAGCTCCCATCATTTTCCCAACAGGTTCTCATTTCAACCCACTGCTGGGGGGATGGGGCCCGTTTTTGCAGCCAGAGGAAACAGTGTCCCAGGGAGGCCTGAGACAGAATCCCAGTGATACCTTCCGCTTCTCCCTCCTCGTCCCCCTCTCCCCGGTGGAAAAGCCCAATGTATAAATCCTCATGGCAAAAAGCATGGATGGCTGGGGAATCACCAACAGCCCAATGCCTGGGCCGGGGGTTCACGAGCAGGAGGGAAAGAAGGGCCCACTCTGCACTGGGAGGGAAGCTGGAATCTGTAGACCCTCCTGCTTACACTTCTGGGCCATAAGGCCAGCTCCTGTGACTCAAATTTCAGAAGTAGAGGAGACCCCAGGCCCCTTGGGTCCAGCCAACTCGGAATCCATTATCTTCTACATACTTCAGAGGCCCAAAATCCTGGGTGTGAATGTCTATGGTGGAGGGAATTCACTCTTTGGGCACGCACGGGCTATCAAGTTCTTCTGTGCTATGCCTACTCCCTCAGCCCCTAGTCCAGATCCACAGTGCTCTGCTCAAACCTTCTGAGTCCCCATTCCCCACAGAAACAGAGTCCAACATCCAGGATATGCCACTAGGGAGGGGTCTGCTCAGCGGCAGGAGATAGTAAGAGTCAAGGTCGGGTAGGTGGGGGCAGCCAACATCCCTATCCCGAGGCCGGCTCCCCTGCCTAGAGCCCAGGGCAGTTCACACAGGAAAGGCACTGCGGGGTCACTTCCCCAGGAAACACACAAGGGCTGGGGGAAAGCAGGAACCCCGAGGCCCTTTCTCGGAGGGCCCCTGGGGCTTTTGTTCCCATCTACGAAACATGGCAACATGAGGACCACCCTTGGGTTCTGTGGTCCCCAGTCACCCAGCAACCCCCACTGGATGAGGAGGGCCTGCCCGGAGGCCACACCCAGGGCCAGAAGGGCCCAAATCCGGTCCTGTGAACCTTCCCCCAGCTTTGGCCCAGCCAGCCTGCCATGCCCTGAACCTCCTCCTCTCTGCCCACCAGTGCCCAGGTCACCTCCTTGAGTTAAAGATGCCTCCTGTGTGCTAACAGACAAGATGGGTTCATTACGCAAGCAGGGGGAGGAGCCAGCATGGGATGCTCTGAAAACCAGGGGAGAGAGAGGAATCAGGGCTCACACTGGGACCCTCACCTTCTGCCTGGGGCCGCAGAGCCCAGGCTCCAGGGCAGCTGAAGCTTGTCTGGTCTGCAGGAACCCCGACCTGGGCCCAGCTCCGGGACAGTGCCGCAGCGCAGGGGCCGGGTTCAGAATCACACTCACACACTTACAGGCAGCCCAGTAAGCCCTGAGAGCCCTGAGGCTGAAGCCCAGTGACTCTCGTCCAGGGGCCAACGGGGTCCCAGGAAAGGTTTCCTGTGTTGGTTCCCTGACCGACCAGCAAACCCAGCCAAGCTCAGCCCAGAGAGTGGCCAAGTCCTCAGCTCCAGACCCACAAACATATCAGATTCCCGAGCTCCCACTCCCATCTGTGCCAGCCCCCCATTCCACAGATGTCATCACGCGTGCACCTCATTACGCTGCGACAAGGAGAGGCTCTCCCCAACCCGGTTTGAAGAGGCGCCTGAGGTTCAGAGATGGGCGGCGATCTGGCGAAAACACAATGAGGAAGTGGCAGGGTGGACCTGAACCCAGAAACCAGGCTCTAGTGTCATGTGAACTGTCACCGAAGAGTCAGGACAGGAGGAAAGGG